CCAGCGGACAGCGCACCCTGCACAGCGCACAGCGCACAACACATTGCGCACAGAGCTCAGCACATTGCGCAAAGTGCTCAGCGCACATTGCACAGCGCACATTGCACAGCGCAATTACCCCACTCATTGTTTGGATTTCTCCAGATTCCTCCCCCTCCGCCTCCATCTCGCTTATCCTTTAATTGAACCGCGGGGCCTCCGTAGATAGCATCGCGCGCGCTCGCCCAATAGGGACTAACGGGACCCTTCTCCCCGTCTCGCGACTTCTGGGCTCGGCCGAGCGTGGACTAATGGGCGCTGCCCTTTGTTGCACTTTATCACGGATCGCACAGTTTTGTTTTTAATTAGTTTCGGCGGGGAGCATTCACACGTGCGCCGCGCCGCGCCGCCCCGTCCTCCGCTGCCGCGCGGAGGCCTCGGGTGACGTATTCGCCGCGAACGAGAGGCGATCCATCCACGCCACGCGCGCGCCGCGCGCCCATACGTACGCCTGTCGCCTGTCGCGAGGCGGCCCACGGGCTGCTTGATGCGCGAGTGATAGCGCGCCGGCGGGCGGTGGGCGGTGGGCGATGAGCGATGCGACTGGGCACAGGACGTTGCACGCGGGGCAGCGGGTAAGACGCCCAGCGGTGGTGGGTGGTCGGCGGTGAATGGACGGTGGCGAGTGCTGAGGGCGGGGAGGTGGGTAGTAGGTGGTGAATGGGGTGGACAGTGGACGCTGAGTGGTGAGTGGTGAGCGGCAGGTGGCACACAGAGTGCTTCGGGCGGTGGGCTGAGGGTAGTCGGTAGGTTTGGTAGAATGTGGTTGGGAGGTGATGGGCGACGGGCAGTGACGGCGGGATGACCCCTGGTTGTAGCGGGAGCTGCGTATAGTCAGCAGCAGGTGTAGTCGTCTGCAAATAGTTGACGTCGATTTACGTAATAAATGGATGGTGAGCGGTGAATAATAAATAATTCGATGGCGATTGCTGATTTGATTGGTGTTGGGTGAACCTTGATGGATTATCGCCACTCGCATTCAAGAGTGCTCGTGCTCTTCATGTAAACTCAGCAAGCTGGCTTCAATGACCGATAAAAGAATTTATCAACTCCCGCTTAACCAGCTTCACTGACGGCAGGAAGCCCTTACATCATGCCGCAGACCATTCAAAACCCAGACCTCTTGCAATGCCTTCTTTCACTCTTTGCTCGTCACTCCGTCTTGCGCCTCCCCCTCCGGTCCACCTCTCTCCGGTCATCGCCACTCGCCTAGTTACGATCCGCTCCGGCCTTCCCCACCGCCCCGCTCCGCTCCACCCCGCTCCACTCCACTGCATCCCGTTCTACCCCGCCCCGCCCCTCCCGGCTCCACCCCGTTCGGTCCCGCCCGGTCGCGCCCCGCCCCACATCTCCCTGCTCCTCTCTTCTGCGCCCCGCCCTACACCACTTCTCTCTGCCTCCGCCAGCGGCGCGTCCAGACTCTCCCCCACCCCGCGTCCTGGACTAATGGACACGGCTCTGATCAATTCCAGATAAGGGCAGCTCGAATACCGCGGGCGAGGGCCAAGGCACTCGATTGACTTATCCAACTCGCCACGAACTTGGCCTTAAAAATGATTCAATTATTCTCTTAATAATGCTGCCACGTAGCTCTAAATTGCAGCTAACGAGTTCCCGACAGACGCCCGTGGCGAGGGGAGTATATATGATTCCGAGAGTAGGAACAATTTTTGTCGTACTGGATAATTGGTCCTCCCGTCACACACTCATAATAAATCCGTCGCAAAGCACTCCACTCATCAGATAGGCGGGTTCTAAGTGAATGGAAATTATTTTCACATTACCGACGACACCGTAGGTATCCATCCAAGAAAAGAAATATAACTATACGTGGCAAATCCTTCACTACTGAGAAATCGGGTATGTCGACAGGGTTGGTATCCGCCCAATGACCGGCGGTCTAGTTACATGTGGAGCTGATTTGAACCGGCCCAACACGGGGTTACACGTTGAACTTTCTCACGCAACTCGCATCGCAATGGACGAAGGTGGGTGTAAAAGGTTGATACCTTTGGGTGCGAGCAGAGTTGTAACAGCTGCGAGACGGGGAGGAGAAAAGATACAAGGAAGACAAGGCGGAGTCAAAGGTTACCAAAGAAAAGATGAAAGGCATGGCGAGGAGCCAAGAAGCGACTACGCGGGCGTGAAGCAATGCCATGTTCACGATAAGAAGGAACTAGCAATATGGGAACAAAAAGTTGATAGAAAAACAGTGACCAGATGCCAAAGTATGGAAAAGAGACAACGGGTAAATCATACACGTACGTCAAATATATGGAAGCTGCTTGTGAAACAAGAAGTTTAAAAGGACCAATTAAAAACATGACATGATCAAGATGTCACAATGAAGGAGTGTAGAAGATGTGGATAGTTTGAGACCATGTATAATTAAAGAAAAATGAGTATAATTTCTTAAGAAAGTATGTGCGAAGACAACTTCCTCCTTAACATTTAGCCTCAATATAATGAAGTTATGATAAACGAGTCGATATATATCTGTTTCCAATAAAATGAAGCTATCGAAAATAGATTGAGAAGAAACAGAATTACCTACATGAATTATTTAGAAATATTGAACAGCACAAACTTGAGGAAGTTGCAGAACCTGTTTGCAAATAACTAGAATGTTATACACGTGAAAACATTAATATGAAAGCCAAAAACAAAAAAGTTAACTCGATAAAGCATTAAAGAGATATCAAATAAGATTACAAAATCAGACCATGATCTCATATTCGGGAATACAAAAAAATAATGAAACGAACAGGTGGGATACAATTGACGATACGAGAGTATTACAATTATTCAATGAATGTTTGTGAGTGTACACAAAAGAATTCCCAAATCAAATTCTTATTTTGGACACACAAGATATTCAAACTAGGAATGATACATTTCATCGCGCAACCACCCAACAGGAAAACTCATGGCCAGCCATTGCCAAAGAGCCAAAATTCCCTGGAAACCCAAACTGTGGCGCACGCGTCCCGAGAGGAGCTGCGAGGCGACGCCGAGGGCTGCAGCAGACGCCGCTCGAGGAGGGGCGCGGAGAGACGCCGCGGGCCGTGGCGGGGCGGGCGGGGCGGGCGGGGCGGCGAGCGGGGCGCGAGGCGCCGGAGCGAACGCAGCAGCCGCACCGGCGAGCAGGCGCAGCACTCTCACGCGAAAACTACGACCAAGACTAAGGGGTGTCGGGCTGAGGAGCCCGAGAGAACGGGCAGGAGAGGCGAACGGGCTGGCTCCTGGGAAACAGATGGGGTAATGAGGCGGTCGCGCAGAGATTATCCCGGCGCGGCCTCTCGGGCGACAAAAAAAAAGCGGCATAATTGTTTGTCCGTTAAATCAGCACCCCGACCGAGACAGCTAACCATTCCTCCCACGCTTCCGTCCCCGTCCCGCACATTCAACCCCCCGGCTCCGCGAGCCCACGCACCTCCGCCCTTACTCCTGCCGCTTCAGACGGAACGAATAATCACGGTAGACATCTGATGCGCCGACAAACAAAACAGGGTTAGAGAGACGAAGCGCGCGCGGCGGGGAGACCAGCGGAGAGCGGAACACGCACAAGAATCGCGTAAAGGCGGAGCGAGGGGGAACCTGCGGCGGGGGCGGCGAAAAATGAAGTTAAAGGGACGAAGCGAGGCAGGGGCGGGGGCCGGGGCGGGGCGGGGGAGGGCGGGGCGGGCAAGACGACGGGGCAACAAGGGGAAGGAAAAATCAATCAATAGTTTGAAAGACGCTGCGGCCGTGAGTTATCCTGATCACGCCGAATCAAATATATTGCCAAAAACTCTAAGTACCTAGAGTCCGGCGTGCTCCCAGCATCAGCGGACAGAAGTATTGGATCGAAAGCAGCGGGCAAAATAGCACGCAGAGGGGCTTCGGGGCTGGGTGCTTCTAAATTATCATATTAAATACGAGCCACTCGGGTAGGACCCGCGTGTTGCGGGAATTTTATCTGGATTTAATTCTAGGGCAAGAGCCGAATGCCCGAAAGCAAGGCAGGGGCGCCGGTCGCGAGCGTCGGCCGCAGAAGCTGTTTGAATGGGCTGCTGCACTTCCGCAAGCCGGACCCGGCCGCGCACACACACCCCTCGCGAAGTGAACGCGCGCGCGCATGTGTACTTGGGTATGTGCATGTGAATGTCTTTGTATGTGTGCGAGTGTTCATATATAATGTGTGTGTCCATCTGTACGTGTTTGTATATGTGAGCGTGCTCGCGTACTATTCGTATGTGGGTGTGTGAGTACGTGAATTTGCGTGAGTTGTGTGATATTGTTTGAGCGAGCGAGTGAGACGTGTGTGTGTGTGGGTATGTGAGTGTGTGTGTGCGTGTATGTGCGTGCGTGTGTGTGTGCGTGTGTGTGTGTGTGCGAGCGTGTGTGTGTGTGCGAGCGTGTGTGTGTGCGCGTATGTGTGCGCGTATGTGTGCGTGCGTATGTGTGCGTGCGTGTATGTGTGCGAGGGAAGCTCGGTAAATGCACCTTGACAATGAGTAACTTCTAAGCGTACGTAACACAATTACAGTAATCGCTGTTGCCACTGCATGTGACCATGATTGTCATCGGTGGAGCACGGTAGCGCTTATGTACTAGAATGAATAATTTCTAGATGTTACACGATGGAATTCCTTTTGCTTTTGAATCTATGCTATGATGTAGGTGATAACAAATTAATTAACCGAAATGACGATTTATGTTATGTTGGCCTCTTCACAACTCAGCATTTATTTTAATTTCCCTACACGAAAGTACCTTCCAAAGAATCTTCCAGCAGGTATCGTTTCTCACTTATTATTGCCAAAGTTAATTGCACTTGCCATGAGAAAGTTAATTTCGTTATGATTTGAATTTATACATTTTTTTACGTTAATACATTTACTTTATTTTGAATCTAAGTTACAGGTTCGTTTTACAAGTACCTCTTTGTAATTTTCTTTATTTAATTATTATAACCGTACCTTTGCGGAGCTTTCCAGAGGGTTCCAGTATACTGCGATGGCGTTGTGGGAAATCTCCTCGATGCATCCCACCAACCCGACGCTGTTCTTCGTATCTGTAGCAGGTAAAACGGCCAAGTAAATATTACATACTCAAATAAGAAAAAATAGTGACACTGACTACGACAATGAGCTACACTAATTATCTAGATGCACATAAATTGACGATGTCTGAAATATTGTACAATAACAAAGCACATTCGACGAGGAAGAACAGATGTACAAAAAGGATAGAGCAAAACATACAACGTTCACAACGAACAAGATGCATAACGTAGTAAGGAGATGCTAAAACAAACACAACGAAACACATGTACACACACAGGAGTAGCAAAACAGGATAGCTCTACTTACCCAGAGACCTTATCCTCAGGCTAGGCATGAAACAATCGAGAACACGCATTAAGAGCTTGTACAGCAAGAAATGGTCTGTGTACCCTGGACATTACTTAGGTGAAACTTGAGCTCGTGGGTGATCCGATGGGAAAGGTCAGGGAGTGAGCCGGCAGAGAGCATTCCATTGCTAGCGGAACGCAAATGTCGGCCGGGGTTCGTTACCCGGGCGGTCTCGGAAGGTCGCCGACGGCGGCGCATCTCTATCTTTGGAGGCGGCCGAGTGGATGAATGAACGAACGTACGAAGGGACGGATGAATGAATGCAGGTCGCCGGCCCGCTCGTCGGTCGCCGCTGCAGCAGCAGCAGCCGCCAGCCTTCCAATAAACGGGTTATCCCGCGCGGCCTGCTTCTGACCCAACCGGTTCAGAGCCCGATGCCGCCCTTTCCAGCCTCCGCCGCCGCCGCCGCCGCCAACCACGTGGTCGAGAGGTCGCGAACCCTTGCCCCGCCCCTTCCCAGCAGCCACTACGCGCTGCACCGGCACCTGCCGACTGCCCGGTCATCGATTTCCATTCAACCCCTAACACGACACATCGCACTTTTTCGGCGCAGGGAGCAGAGGGAAGGCCTGCCATTTACCAAACCATCACAAAACACATATTTTGGCAACATACCACCGTGTATTATTTTTATGGGTTGTTAGCGTGTTACATAATCATCTCAACTGCCCTTTTGTGTTCTTACATTTATGCATATTACCCAAGAATAACATATTAGAGCAACCCATAAATTACACTTCAACTACCAACATTATTCTGTTTAAGCCTGTTAAGAATACTAATTACGAGATACTACGTAATAAAATTATTAAAAATTACGAAACTTTTTGAAAAAATGTGGAAAATTTTAGGGTAACTACCATTATCACACATCGCAGCACAAAGTAATACACTTTAATTTCCCATTTTGTTTGGGCCCCGGTGTTGAATATTTACTCATTATTTCAGCATATAAACTACGAGATACACCGGAAACTTGCGCACGCATCTTGTTGAACTTTGAACTTCTTTTCATTTCCTTCCTCTGTTAAAAAATATCTCTTCCGTCCAACTCGTAACAGACACTTCTCAAACCGTCATCACGCGCACGCGACACTTACTATCCAGCAGCTCTAAAAAAACTGCAATTACAAATACACGTATGTTCCAATGTGCCTCATTAGTTTGCACGAAAAGCACTGCTGTAATAGTTGTTTTCCGAAAGAATTTAGTTTCCTCAATTAGAATTAATTTGTCAGACTTAACCCGAAAAAATAATCAGGGAACAATACCAACAATCACATATGGAAAAGAAGACCGTTGTGTACCGCACTTCTGATGTCGAGCGATAAGATTCCGTGCCGTGTACGTACTGAGTGATCCCACGAACATACAAAGTTTGAGCCGCTTGAGGCGATACTGGCTCCGAGTTCAGCCTCTAAATCCCGCAGTAAGTTTTAGATGACCGAGATTGTGGTTCGCTCGATACCTACGTGTAAGAGCAGGACATCTTCATCGCACACGGAGCTAATCGAACCAGTTCCTGAACAGAATGATCGTAAATTAAGTGGTTGCTTTTGCTCGGCAGTTCTTCCTTCATGTTTAGTCACGATCTGTTGTACGCGAACGTTCAAAAACGACGCAAAGATACATCAAAACAGAAATATAGTATGCTGCAAATTTCACTTTGCATTGTTTACACCATGTTTACACCAGCAAACGAATAGTAGTTGTACACCGGCCCTGGTTCTTCCTCCCAATTTCCTATTTTACAAAACCTGTCTCCGGAATCCAGGCTGACTTTGGAGGCTGCCCTGGGTCCTGGAACAGGTCGGGGCGTCGCGATTCACGCCCCCAAATGTTCCAGAACTGGATATTCGATCACCGGCCACTCAGAGTCGTCGCGCGCCCCGTAATTTTTCCACTCATGTTCCGGTTCAAACGAAACCTAAAATTTCGATTCGATTCCGGTTTGAAACCGACAAGGAGGGCAAGATCGAGGGCTCTCTGACCCGGTATTTTTATTCGTTGTCCGAAGCAGACGAGAACATTCATTCAAATATGTAGGCGTGAAACAGGCGACGTATTTTCGTGAAAAAAAGGGATACACACGCACCAAACGTACAATAAATAAGCTGCCGAAGAACCGATTGCAATTTTGTAATTAAACATTTTAGATGAGTAGTTTTGGTTCAAGATATCTTATGCGCATTACGCTGTGTTTTGGATTACGAGTTATTTGAAACCTACACAATGTTTTCCATTTCTTGTGCATAAAATGATTCTTGCTCATTCTTGTGATACATTTCATATGTTTGTGATATGTCCTATCCCCCACCGCCTCTTCATTCCTGATCGTCTCCTTCTCCTCACCTCTAGTCCACGCCCCTTTCAACGTTCTTCTTTCTGATACCTCGAAAGCCTATACCATTTCCATTTCTCCCCAATTAAGATTCATAGCTGTTCCAATTACCGTTGGTCCTGCGCAGGGCTGCCTTCCCTCTTTAGATGGTTTATCTCGGCCCCGGGACCTTTCGCTCCGCTCCGGGAGGGGGAGGGGGAGGGGGAGGGATACTGCGTGCGCACAGAATTAATTCCGAGGCGCCCCAAAAGGGCAAAGGGACGGAACCTCTGCGCTGTGTTTATATGGGCGAGCCTGAGGGTACCAATAAAACGAAGGCTGCGGCGGGGTGGGCGGCGGGGCCGCTCTCTAAATCGGCGGTTCCTCGCTGGGCGAGGAGAAGGAGATACATCCGCCGGCAGGTTTAATTAGCTGCCATCGCCGCGGGCGCGCCGCTTGTGGCGGTGGGAGCGGAGGCGGTGGCGGTGGCAGTGATGTTGACTGCAGCAGTGGCAATGGCCGTGGCAGTAGTGGTGGTTTGCGATGATGATTGTGATTGTATCGATGATGGTGGGGGAGGTGATGGCGGTGGCGAAGGAGGCGGTGACTGCTGTGGCGGTGGCGCCGGGCAGTGCTGTCGGTCGGTGACCCCCTGGGGGCGACCCACCTCGGGGCCACCCTCTGCCGCCATCTACTTCGCTGCAAATCGCCCTCAGGACCGCTGCCGAGCGTCGGTTCGGTGCTGGCGCAGTCACACGGGGAAACCAAAATTGCGTGGTTCTTAAATGGCTTTTATATTAAATTTGTTTTCACTTTTTATACAATTATGATAATTTGACAGTTTATGAAAAAGTAGGAGGATGGCTTACATCTTTTAGGACGATGGTTTTCATCTTCTAAAGTTAAAATTGAGATTTACAAAAATGGTTATCACTAAATAATTAAATACATTCTCCTCAACCTTTTTTCTGTTTAATCGCCACTTTGAGAGTATCAATGTTCCATCCTAAAGCATCAAATTGTAAGCTAGAAGATGCCAACATTAGTTCTGCTCAGTTAGGTCGAATTAGAACCCTCATTTAGTATGCAGAGACCTCCCGGACGGACGAAATACGATACTTACATCACCGAAATGAACGCTAAGATAAACGTTTTGCATACGAAACATTTTTTGGAAATTATTTTAGTGGAAGAGAGACGAAAGTGAAATTTCGATGTTGCGAAATTGGGGCCGTTGTCCTTAGGTAGAGCTACGCCTCCGTTCATTGTTCGCCGCAGCCGTCGCCGCCCACCACCGCCGCCACCGCAGGGCTCGGCCGCCGGGCGGACCAGTTCCAGAGCACTCCGTGGTATTAAAGCGCCTTCCTTAAGTGCCATCCCATCCCATTCTATCCAGGAGGCTTCCGTAAACCGGAATACAGCTCCAGCACCCAAGCGTTCTGACCGCAAATCTCGTCTGCCTGACCTAGTGCACGTTCCCCCGCCTTAGGCTGCACTCGAATACGTAAATCCCGCTCAAAACACACCACCATCACCATCCAGGTCTCCTCGAGGGCAATCGTTCGCGAACGATCTTCCTTCGGCGAGAACCCGGGCCGCAGGGAGACGTTAATTTCAAAAATTCCACTTGTTATACGCAGTACCGTTTCGCCTTCCACGAATTAAATAAATCATCCGTCGAACGATCGACCAGGGCTCGCCGAGTGCTTAAACACACGCGTCGGGGCCCCCTCGGTAGGAGTCTTGCTTCTCCTCACCGCGGGCGCACAATAGGAAGATGGGAATCGTACCGTGTAATCCCAAAGACTTTCCAAACATTAAGCGACCTCCGCTCAGCTTTCTATCAACCAGGGTGCACATTACGGCGCGAGCAATCAGGGCGCAGCACGAGCTGCAGAAACTATTAAATGCTTGATTAAATTTTAATAGAGAGCCGCCGCTGCCGCCGCCGCCGCCATTAGATCCAACCACCTGATGCTCGCTTCCTAAATTAAACTGCAACGCGCAAAGCAATTAACGTTAAATTAAGTCGGCAGCGATTTCCCTAGTCCGCGTCCGCGGAAGAAACATTTCCGATAATTGCACACACCCCTCGGCCCGCTCTCGACCGGGGGCGCGGTTCAGGGGTGTCCAGGCTGCCTCCACAGCCGACACGCGAACGGCCCGGCGGAAGGCGTGGCCGAGCGGTATCAGTGACAACCGGACGGACGAGTCGAGTCTTTCTTCTCCACCACCGCTATCGCTGATGGCTAAAGGATCCCGCGACGGCTTTGAAACGTACACCAGGAAGATTAGCATGTGTTAAGAGTTTGTATGTTAATTCCCATTGACGCTGAGCAA